TTTTTTTTTTTTTGGTCTTTTTGAGACAGGGTCTCCCTGGAGCCCTAGCTGGCCTGGATTCACTATAAAGACCAGGCTGGCCTCAAACTCACAGAGATCCACCTGCCTCTGCCTCCCGAGTGCTGGGATCAAAGGCGTGCACCACCACGCCCAGCAAGGTTTTTATATTCTTAATGGAAACTTCTCATTCTCAGATTTAATAGCATCTTCTCATTACACAAGATAAAGGATTGTATTAATCTTCTAAGATCAAAGACAAGAAGATGTGCTTTGAGTTGGTTTTCAGATAATGGGCTTAAGTTTTCTTCATTTGAGAGTGTATAACTAGAATTAGGCACATTGTTTGCATCTAGAACTACGAAAGCTCATCTGCTGAAGCAGAGTCAGCCTTATGGGTTCTTTGCCTCCTTAAAAGCGGCTTTTCTCTTTGGTCAATCAATCCCTAGTAATGGGTGCACAAATCCTCATACTTAAATAATGTGTACATATGTATGTATATGTATGTATGTGTTGTTTTTTTTTTCTTCCCAATGCTAGAATGGCGTCCAAGGTTTTCATATTGCAAGACCTCCCTCCTCTCCCGCTGAGCTACATTCCTAGCCCACTAATGATCTTCTTTGGGCAGTAGGGGGGTACAGGGTCTTTCCTATAGCCCCAGCTAGCCTGGAACTCACTATATAGACCAGTCTGGCCTGGATCTCACAGAGATCCGCCTGCCTCTGCCCCTTGCATGCTGGAATTAAAGGTTTGTTCCACCATGCCTGGCCCATACTGATGATGTTTTATCATCAAAATCATAGTTACATTCAATTCGACGAGTACTAATGATTCTATCTTTTTTCAATATGCTTATACAAGATGATCTTTATATTTGCTATCAGACCAGAATTCATAAACACATTACATGAACACCTTCACAGTCTTGGATCTGTGATGTGGAAACACTGTAACCCCCCAGGTTTCCCAAAGAAATGCTGTTGGTGCGGAGCTGGCTCTGAGACCCACCCCGCCCTCCTTTCCCTCTTTTGAGGCTGGCATCAGCTGAGGCTTCCTTCCTCCTGCCCCACTTGTCTTTCCCCCAGGGTAGGGCCAAAGTTCAGGTAGAAACTCCATCCTGGGGTCCCTAATCTTCCTCTTTCTGAGAAATGAGAACCAGTATTGGCAGTTTGGTGGATAATTTTATGGTCTTTAACACTTCCCACATTTCTCTTCTACCCATACCCCAGCCTTGTAGTAGAGAGGAAGTATGGCTGGTTGGGTTGTCTGCCCTTGACATCTCCACTTTCTTCTCAGAACTGGGAGTCTTCTTTTTTTTTAAGT